TAGGTAGCATCATAATTTCTGACAACTTTGTTAAGTTGTTGGCGATTATTACCAGACGCATCTACTCTTCGTATCGAGCGTGTATGTATCTAGTTGTTCTCCCATCAAAACTAATGGTAGGATAATTGTGTGAATCATACCCGCTTGTGGCGAAAAATAAACAAGGTGGCTTAACACCTCTTGTGCCTTTTAATCATCAACGCAATGAAGTGTTTTGTTATTTCTTACCATAAAAAAACAATAATAAAAAAATTGAGATGGTTCGAAAATAACATTCACTCTCAATATTACGAATAATATTAGGCATGGTATAATGATAATAAATACGGCTACCAGAAAAAGAGACATATGAAGATTGGCTTTAAATGTTCAACTGGTTTTTTTTAGGAAGTATTGAGGAGAATTTATAGGTTCCCCAAAACACCATTATATAAACATAATTACATAATAAAAATGGTAATAACACATTAAAAATAAAAATGGTAAAATGGTAATAACACATTAAAAACAAAAAAAAACAAATAAAAAATCACGTTTTTAGACAACAACAAAAAAATCCGTGTTTTTAGATCAGTGCCCCAAAAAGTCGTACCAAATCTCTAGGGTTGCTACGCAACCCAAAAAGCTCCGTAACCCTAAGACGATTGCGTCGTCTCTTGTTTTTTTTTTTTTTGCTCCAAGTCCTGCGAGAAAAAGAACTTACCACGGCGAGCTATGTTACCGGCCTTGTTTGCCCAACATTGAGCTTGTCCCGAGGTCGACCAAACCAAACCCTCCAAACCAAAGTCGTTTCTGAGCCTCCCACACGTCCTTCAAATCCTTCCAAACCTTTCCAAGCAATCGAACCGTCACAAAACCTCCCAATCGTCCTTCAAAACCTTCCAAACCTACAAAAACTAATCGAACCGTGCCAAACTTTCTAAGCCTCCGACGAACATGCCAAACCTTCAGCCCAAACTTCCAAACCTTCAGCCCAAACCTCCAAACCTTTCCAACTTCCCAAGCCTTTTCTTGTATCAACCCAGCGTGCTCTAGCTTTTCGCCTTCTCCGTTGAGGTTACCTGTTTCCAATTATTGAGCAGATGCTGCGTTTTGGGGAAACCTAGACCGCGCGCTTTAAAGCCCCCCTCTCATATTTCCAAAGGTATTACCTTTGGCCAGACAGACGCGGCGGGGATTGGGTAGCGAGGTACGGAGTCGCGAGAGCTGGGGTGTTATGAATTATAACTCGGAGTATAGCGCAGAATACTATAGGGGAACGTGATTACAGAATGTGTCCAGAATAATGAGGCCTAGGGCATATATAGTGCGATTGACCAGGGTTGAATGTTGAGGGCTGGACCAGTCGAAGGCTAGGTAGTCCCGTGGGTGACGGGGTCAAAACGGGTTCGAGGCGACTCGGGATGAGGTTTGGGCCTAAAAGGTCGTCGGGGGCTGGTTTGGCGCGTGTCTTGAGGGCCGAGCCTGCGGACACACACTGTTCGCGTGTACTCGCTGTGGCGAGCCCCAGTAAGGAATCGTAATTCCTTACACTCTCCCACCTTCTAAAAGGAAGGCACTCCCTTTATCGAGGTCGAACCTTTTATCTGATTTAATCCCCGAAGTGACTGTAAGTCTTCAGCCCTGTGACGAGCGTAATGATTACGCTGGCCTGCCGAGGTCTTCAGGTCGAACTGCGATCAATGGCCAAAAAGCGTCGAAACGATCGCGGTCGATCCTGGTCGTCGAATCTTGATGAGTGCAATGATGACGAGACTTCATGAGGTAAAACTCCATCCAACGGCTGAGGCATGTTGCAGCGATCGTAATCGATATGAGTTATTAAAGATGTCGACTTCTTCCGCTGACCGACGGGCAAGGGTAAATACTCCAGCGGAAGACAATGAGCAGTGAAAAGGTCAAGTGGTCGATTGATGATGGCGCATGGCAGTCGAATTTCTTGAAATGATGAGGGGCGAATAACGTGATGGTCGATGAAATGAAGAACCCGTTCGTCAAACGCGAGGTCGTTCGTGACACGTACAAGATCACCCATCGATGTCCTGCGAAAGTGAGCGAACTCTATCAACGAATTGACGAAATCAGGCGCAGAAGCGTAACGATGACGAATGTCGGTCGAAAATTGCTAATGGAACACGCCGGAAAGGTCGTCGGAAAATTGCAGCACAGCTGCCCTTCTCCCCCCTCCAAAGAAAACAGCTCCCAATTTCCCACGTAGGTCTCCAATGCTTCAGGGGCGTCGAAATAATCCTAAACTGTTGCTGAAAATCCCTGAACTGAGCTTCCAAGATGCCGCTGCAAAAATTCCAACCGATAGAAGGACCAAAGATGCTCCAAACTTGAAAATGTCGTCACGGGGTAAACCGCTTTACTGCTCTTGAAACTCCGCAACTACTGCGTCAGAAGAATCCTATACGATTTTTATTTATTTATTTTTTTAACACAGCTTGCGAGCTGGCCCCAACACAGCTCTACACGACTGCTGGAAAATCTTCTCGTTTTTATATAGATCCTGATGGATGGCGATGATGCGGCTCGGTCGTGTTCACACTGGCTGGCGAATTGAAAATGGAGGTGGTAGCGTGTGGTGGCGAGAGGCTGACGACGATGGCGATGACCTGAAACCTGTACTGAACCACTTCTGTGAAGATCCTCGAGTAGAACCCGAGTTCAAATGACTCCAGTTGCATCAGCTCGTTTGTCCGTACACGCCGAAAATTTCGGGAAGAGCCGAAACTGCTACTCCTCCCCCTCTGCTCCATATAACCAAAACACTCCTCAAATGTCGGTCGATGTTGCTCGTACCCCTGAAGATAGCGGGCACAAATCCAATTGTAAACGCTCGAACTGCTCCTTAAAACGCGCCGAAAAAGACGGAACCGCTTGTTATTAAGTATCGTACACTCTGCTTCTCAGTTAGTCGTAAAAATGTCCAGGCGTTACGGCGTCCTTTAGCGGCATCCCCACGGTTTCTCCACCAACTGTACGCATGAACTGAACCCTTTATCTTAGGGTTTACCGGAGTCCACCGCCTCGGCATAATGTTTTGGCCATCAATCAGGGTCAATGCGCATCATACGCCCAGCTGTTACCCTATGTTCAAATACTCTGGTACCCCTGCCAGCTGGCGGCGCAAACGTTCACCCATCTCGCGGCTACTGCAGGTTACCCAAAACCGCTTCGCTGCTGCTTAACTAAGGAGAATCCGCAGAGATAGGAGTGCGCACGCTTCTAGTCAGAGAAGCTTTAACGAGCTCGCCTACTGACCGCTGGACAGCTCCCTCCTCCGTCGGAAAACTCTTCAACTACACCTGCAAAAGTCGGATCTGTTTTCTGCTGCGCTAGATGAAACCATCAGCTCCACTGTAAGAGTAACTCCGAAAGTTTCGGGGACACTCCATCAGCACAGTGTAGTTTGCAGGTTCACCCCCCTTATTCATCAAGAAGCCGTCGATTAATAAGTCGACACTGCTACCTGGTGGGAATGGTTATTTTAGGGCGACGTAGCTGAGCGAGAAGCAGCCCGAACGCCGCTTACCCATCTGCTCCAGTACTCCCATCGTTCTTCTCCCACTGCTTCAACTCCTGACAGTTAACGCATTCGGCGACCGGTGGAAGAACACTTAATACACACCAGGGGTGGTGGCCTCCGTTTCCGTTGATCGTGGGGTAGGAATCGCTGGTCCACGAAAAACGCCTCCCCACGCGGGAAGTCGCCCTCGCTGAGTACACTCACTCCAGCACATCGTCATCACCTCGAGATGGCCGTCATAGTGTATAGCGCCGAGGTCGTTAATCTCAGCTGCTCCCACACAACTGCACTCCCACACAACTTCGTGCGATCGTGTCGTTCCGAATTTGTCGGATCCGCCTATTGTCGAAATAGTGTCGAAGTCCCGTCCATCGCCTACAATTAGCCTACTGGAAACGACGACGCCAGCGACGCAACTGCATTTCACCAAGCAGCTATATGGCACGACAGACGCCCATCGCGGTGCGTCCCGCCATTTTCGTCACCCCACGCGCTCTTGACGACCATCTCCCGGCTGCCTGCTGACTCTTGTGCACTTGTCTCCTCATGACGAAGCCCTCTTTTTTTTGGAAAGCCAATCCGAAGACTCCGTCCGAACACCCGAAAATTACGAAAGCTCTAACGAACATACCCGAAAAACACGGCGAAAAAGTCGTCCACTCTTTCGACGGAAAGAATTCCATCTACGACCAGGGAAGGGGAGGACCGGCTAATCCCAGCCGACCATCGAACAGGATCTGACGGCATCGCCAACGCCTGCGCAATTAATTTCCTCGACGTGCGCTCGCCATCAGCATCCTTCTGCCCCCTTCCCTGATAGGATCTGCTCCCCTACCGGAAGCTAGATGGGCAGAATCGGGGCTCTGATACCAGCTGTTATGAATTATAGCGAGTATAGCGCAGAATACTATAGGGGAATGTGATTACAGAATGTGTCCAGAATAATGAGGCCTAGGGCTTATATAGTGCGATTGACCAGGCTTGAATGTCGAGGTTTGGACCAGTCGAAGGCTAGGTAGTCCCCTGGTTGACGGGGTCAAAACGGGTTCGGAGCGACTCGTGATGAGGTTTGGGCCGAAAAGGTCGTCGGGGGCTGGTTTGGCGCGTCTTGTGGGCCGAGCCTGCGGACGCGCACTGTTCGCGTGTACTCGCTGTGGCGAGCCCCAGTAAGGAATCGTAATTCCTTACATGGGGTTTAACGAGGACAACAGAGAACCAGGCCCGAAACTCAACCAAATTTGCAGGCTGGGGGAACCCCCATACCAATCCGTCAAGCCTAAAATGCTTCGCCAACCGACTTGGCACGTGCCCGGCGATACACCCAAAACACGGAAACCCAAAACAGAACGTGTCGAAACCCAGCACGGTAGGTTTGCGATCATCATGGTGTGGCTTGGTTGTCGCGTGGGGCTTTTCCCCAGCCTTTTTGCTTTGTGGCCAATCAGGGGCCCGTCCACACCAACCATCCAAACTTGCGATACCCACCCTTGTTACCCTATTACGCTACCTTTGCTCAACCCAGGAAATATGAGAGGGGGGCCTATGCACCGCGTCGGCTTTAATCTATGCACCGCGTCGGCTTTAATCTATGCACCGCGTCGGCTTTAATCTGTGCACCGCGTCGGCTTTAATCTATGCACCGCGTTGTGCTTTAGAGCTATTAGAGCTGAGCTTCAGTTTCCATCTTCGCTCGTTCGCATAGCCAGAAGCCAGCGGGTTACCATTTTCGCTTCATTCGCGGACATTTAGCGATAGCGATCGTCGTTTGGGTCAACGACGCGTTGACACCGTCGCACGTGCGACGAGTTCTCGACCGTCGCACGCTCCCCTCGTGCTGTCACCGCGATACTGAATCCACTCATGGCGACAGCGTCCGAAATCTGCGACCGTCGGCGACTCTCGTCAACCAGCGAAAAGCTCCTTCCGGTTACCACACGCGCGGAAACCCTCCGCCCCAAGTCTGCGGACCCATGGGGGCTCTTACGATGGCGGAGGTACTGCGGAAAGGGGGGGGGGGAATCGACGCGGGTCGCGCCTCACACGCCCCCGTTCGTCTTCCTTATGGCTTTACTCGCCGTCGCATCGACCTTCGCCCTAGGCGGGTTTTTGCAGCCGTTTCGGCAGAGCGTCTGGCAGCACCCCGGCAGCTCTACTAGTAGTAGTCTTCTGGTCCCCTCTGGAGGACGCCGCCATAGCCTCCTAGCTCCGCAGTCCGTCTCTGAAATGGCGCCCCCTTCCACCGCCGCCGATCCCGCCGCGATTGACGGAGAATCCTGCCGGCTGGCAGTTGAGGAGGGGTCCGTGTTTGACGGACTCGCGGATCCCACGGCGGGCGAAGCGGGGACCGGGGGGACCGCGGCGTTTGCCCAGCGGGCGGAAGCGGCGGAAGCAGTGGGGGGGAAGGCATCGGCAGTGGGGGCGGGAGAAGACGAGACGGAGGATGCCACTGGCAGCGTTGCGTTTGTCGCTGTGACCGAGGTAACGCTGATGGGTGACTCTGCGCAGTTACTGCTCAGTTACTGCTCAGTTGCTGCTCAGTTACTGCTCAGTTACGGCTCAGTTACGGCTCAGTTACGGCTCAGTTACAGCTCAGTTATGGTTCGGTTACGGCTCGGTTACGGCTCAGTTACGGCTCAGTTACGGCTCGGTTACGGCTTGGTTACGGCTCGGTTACGGCTCGGTTACTGCTCGGTTACTGCTCGGTTACCGCACAGTTACTGCTCAGTTACTGCTCAGTTACTGCTCGCTCAGTTACGGCTCAGTTACTGCTCAGTTACTGTTCAGTTACTGCTCAGTTACGGCTCAGTTACAGCTCAGTTACGGCTCAGTTACGGCTCAGTTAGTGCTCAGTTACTGCTCAGTTACTGCTCAGTTACGGCTCAGTTACGGCTCAGTTACTGCTCAGTTACTGCTCGGTTACTGCTCAGTTACTGCTCAGTTACTGCTCAGTTACTGCTCAGTTACTGCTCAGTTACTGCTCAGTTACGGCTCAGTTACGGCTCAGTTACTGCTCAGTTACTGCTCAGTTACTGCTCAGTTACTGCTCAGTTACGGCTCAGTTACGGCTCAGTTACGGCTCAGTTACTGCTCAGTTACTGCTCAGTTACTGCTCAGTTACGGCTCAGTTACTGCTCAGTTACTGCTCGGTTACTGCTCAGTTACTGCTCAGTTACTGCTCAGTTACTGCTCAGTTACTGCTCAGTTACTGCTCAGTTACGGCTCAGTTACGGCTCAGTTACTGCTCAGTTACTGCTCAGTTACTGCTCAGTTACTGCTCAGTTATGGCTCAGTTACTGCTCAGTTACGGCTCAGTTACTGCTCAGTTACTGCTCAGTTACTGCTCAGTTACGGCTCAGTTACTGCTCAGTTACTGCTCGGTTACTGCTCAGTTACTGCTCAGTTACTGCTCAGTTACTGCTCAGTTACTGCTCAGTTACTGCTCAGTTACGGCTCAGTTACGGCTCAGTTACTGCTCAGTTACTGCTCAGTTACTGCTCAGTTACTGCTCAGTTACGGCTCAGTTACTGCTCAGTTACGGCTCAGTTACTGCTCAGTTACTGCTCAGTTACTGCTCAGTTACGGCTCAGTTACTGCTCAGCCACTCCTCAGTAACCTGTGTTGAGGGGACGATGCCCCCCTGCGATCTTCCTACCGCGTCGGTCGCTCCCGTCACGGTTTTGGGATGCCCGTGCGATCTCAGGACAATGCCCCTTCACACAACGCGTTATGCTTCTGAGAACTTTCAAAAATAGGGCAATGCCCCTTCACGTTGCCCTCACCTCTCTCGCTCCACTCCCCCCGCTCCTCCACGCGAAGATCGATGCCCCTCTCACGTCCCACCTCGTCCCCGTGCGTCCCCGCGCGTCCCAGCGCGCCTCTATCCCGTTCCCCTCACTCCTCCCCGCCTCCTCTGTGCCCATTCCCCACAAACCCCCCCAGGACGCTCTCCCGTCTCGCCTCAACGCGCTCTGTGCTCACCCCTCCTTCCCCAACCCCCCTCGCGTCCCTCCTTTCCCCCCATCCTCTCCCTTCAATTTGGCAACTCACGCCCATCCCATCCCATCCCATCCCATCCCATCCCATCCCATCCCATCCCATCCCATCCCATCCCATCCTCCACACACGTCCACCCCTCTCCCCCCACCCCTCTCCCCCCACCCCTCTCCCCCCACCCCTCTCCCCCCACCCCTCTCCGCCTCCTCCTCTCCCCCGACCCCTCTCACCCCACCCCTCTCACCCCACCCCTCTCACCCCACCCCTCTCCCCCACCCCTCTCCCCCCACCCCTCTCCCCCCACCCCTCTCTCCCCACCCCTCTCCCCCCACCCCTCTCCCCCCACCCCTCTCCCCCCACCCCTCTCCCCCGACCCCTCTCCCCCCCCCCAACCCTCTCCCTCCACCCCTCGCCTTCTGTCCCCCTTTCCCAACCCCTCCTCGCGTCCCCACTTTACCCCCCTCCCGTCTCGCCTCATGTACTCCCTCCACCCCTCTCCACCCCTCCATCCCTCTCCACTCCTCTCCATCCCTATCCACCCCTCTCCTCTCAGGGCGATCTCCCGTCTCGCCTCAACACGCTCTGCACCGCCCCGTCTGTTGCGGCTGTTCTTACAATGAGAAACGCGGCGCGACAGCAGCAGCAGCAGCAGGAGGGGCAGTGGCAGCAGGAGCAGCAGCAGCAGCAGCAGCAGCAGCAGCAGCAGCAGCAGCAGCAGCAGGGGCAGCAGGGGCAGGCAGGGCAGGCGGGGGAGGGGGTGAGACAAGGAATGGCAGTCCTGTGGAAAGGCGGGAACAAACTTTTCGGCAGGCTGCCCGGGAAAGAAGAGATCTGGAAGTGGGTAGCAGGCGAGGCGGCGAGGCAACGGGGGGAGGAGCAGGTGCTGCAGGTGCAGGCGGTGGTGGGCGCGTGGCCGGAGCTGTGGCTGGGAGACGAGGAGAAGGCTGGAGCCGACACAGCCGGGATGGTGGAAATTGAGGTGAGGTGCTGTTTCCTTCCCCGAGGTTCTCTTTCCCCGAGACGGAGGGGGGAGGAGCAGGTGCTGCAGGCGCTGCAGGTGCAGGCGGTGGTGGGCGCATGGCCGGAGCTGCGGCTGGGGGATGAGGAGGTGGCTGGAATCGCCACGGGGGGGATGTTGGAAATGGAGGTGAGGTGCTCTTTCCCCACGGTGTGCACCGTTGGAAGCACAGCTGGCTGCACGGCTGGCTGCGCGGCTGGCTGCACGGCTGGCTGCATGGCTGGCTGCACAGCTGTCTGCACGGCTGCACAGTTGGCATTCCCACCATGCCTGCCACCACGGCCTTCCTCCCTTGCTCCTCTTCTTGCCCCCTCCCCAACCCCCGGGCCCCTCCCCCCCCACAAGACAACTCAGGTAGGGATGCCACCATGCACCAGCAGCAGCAGCGGCGGCAAGCAGCCCTGGCCCACATTCAAGCGATGGTCGCTCTTTCCATTCTCACCGCACCTTGCGCCTCTTCTTCCTCCCCTCTTCCCCTTCTGCCCCCCCTCCTCAATTGGTCCTGTGTATTAGGTAGGGTAGGGTACAGGCATGGCAGCGGACAGCGCACAACAGGTGAGACCTACAAAACACCTCAGATAGCGGTGCCGCCATGCGCCACCAGCAGCAGCAGCAAGCAGCTTTGGACCTCTCTCAAGCTGTGATTGCCCGTTTCCATTCCCCCCATGCCTTCTCCCCTACGTGGGCCATCGCAGGTAGCGGTGCCGCCATGCGCCACCAGCAGCAGCAGCAAGCAGCCGTCGTCGTTTGTCAAGCTGTGGGCGAGCAAGGGGCTTGGGGTGATAGCAGCAGGCGGAGGGGGGAAGTTTCAGCTGGTAACTTCGCTTTTGAGAGGACTCAGAAGGCTTGCGCTGCGAGCGGCGGGCGCATGGAGCGGGGATATTGAGCTGGTGAGTCCGCATTGCCCTTGGGATATAGTGGCGGGCGGAAGCGGGAAGATTGAGCTGGTGACTCTACAGTGCACCTGACTGCCCTGACTGCCCTGGCTGCCCTGACTTCCCTGACTGCCCTGATTTCCCTGGCTGCCCTGGCTGCCCTGACTGCCCTCTGACTGCCCTGGCTGCCCTGACTGCCCTGACTGCCCTGACTGCCCTGATTGCCCTGGCTGCCCTGGCTGCCCTGACTGCCCTCTGACTGCCCTGGCTGCCCTGACTGCCCTGACTGCCCTGATTGCCCTGGCTGCCCTGGCTGCCCTGACTGCCCTCGGACTGCCCTGGCTGCCCTGACTGCCCTGGCTGCCCTGACTGCCCTGACTCCCCTGACTGCCCTTACTGCCCTGACTGCCCTGACTGCCCTGACTGCCCTGACTGCCCTGACTGCCCTGACTGCCCTGGCTGCCCTGGCTGCCCTGACTGTCCTGGCTGCCTAAACCAGGCAGCAGCTGGCAGAGACAGCCACAAGCGGCCTGCGTGGACAGCCACAAGCGGCCTGCGCGAACAGCTAGCCTTCAAGCTTCTTCCCTTCGCAATCCCCTCTCCTCCCACTCCCTTCAAGCTTGTGCGGTCACTGGAAGCACCTTGTGCTGTCACTGGAAGCACCTTGCCTGCCTTGTGGTCGCCGAGTGTTTCATTTTCATCACCTTTTTTTGCCATCGCTTCCCTTTCTCCCCCTCCCCTGTCAGTTCCCCCACGACTCCTGCCTCGTGGAAGCAGCCTGTCCGGGCGGCGTGCAGGCTTCAAGCCACCTCCCTTGCCTCTTTCCTTTCTCCGTTGCTTGCACCAGAACCAACACGAGTCCTGCCTCGTCGCATCACTGCAAGCGGCTTGTCTGGGCAGCCTGCAGCCCTCCCCAGCCGTGGCCGCCATCATGCACGCCCTCCCCCTCTCCGCCCTCTCCGCCCTCGCCCGCTCCACTGCTGTTTATCTCGAGGCTGGCGCAGCCAGAGCAGGAGGCCACCCTGGGAGGGGCTGCCAGGAGGATTCTCCCCGGAATAACACCCTGAGGGCTCTTGCCTGGAGGTACCTGCATGCTGGATCCCCGTCAGCTGCTTCCTCTCCTTCTCCCTCCTCTTCCTCCTCCTCTTCCTCCTCCTCTTCCTCATCCTCCTCTTCTTCCTCCTCCTCTACCTCCGCTTCCTCCGCTTCCTCTTCCTCCTCCTCTCCCTCGGACTCTTCCCCACCGCTCGATTTTTTTATCGCGGCATATGAGCCATCGGATGCAGACTTCGTGGCATCCACGTTCCACCCCCTCCGTGCCCCTAGGATCCTCCCTGTCACCGCCCTCCGCCTCGCCTTTTGCTCCACGCCGGATTCTGTGCCTGCCGGTCTCAACCCAAGTGCCATACAAGGGCGCGTGGAGGGCGGCGAGTCAGGGGCGGGTGAGTCACAAGGCGAGTGGAACTTGAGTGCAATGAAGGGGCGGGTGCAGGGCGGCGAGTGGGACTGTGCGCAGCTGCAGGTGGCGGAGGCATGGGTGCTGTCTGTCGCAGCGGCGCTCATCCACACCCGCGCATCTCCGGAGGCCCGATTCATCGCCGCCCAGGCCGCCGCCCGCACCGCCAGGAGAATGCTCGGGCTGGAGGGGGGGGTCTTGGGAGGGGAGGGGAGTGGGGAGGCAGGAGTTGTTGGGAGGGGAGAGGCAGGGGGAGCAGAGCGGGGGCAGAAAGCAGTGGGAGGGGAGGGAGGAGCGGGAGCGGATGGGGGAGGAGGGGAGGAGGGAGTGGAAGGGGGAGTGGAAGGAGCAGGAGCGGAAGGGGGGAGTGGATGGCACGGTGCTGTGAGTGCGGGAGATCCCTTCAGAGTGCACCCCGCTGTCTGTGACTCGGAGCCGCCCACGCCCTTCTTCCTCCGCCGCTTCGTGCGCCAGTTTATAGTGGACGGTCAGTGCCTTGCATGCTGCACTCAGCCTCTTTGGGGGACCGTGGGGTGCGGTGGGTTGCGGTGGGGTGTGGTGGGCTTCTCAGTTCGCTGAGCACGACCCTGTGTGGCTCTCGAGTGCCACACCAACGCCCTTCTTCCACTGCTGATTCCTGCAACGATGTACTGTTTGTTTCCAGCCCAAGGCAGGGTGCACGGAGGTGGAAGGCGTGGTTCTGGGAGCAGCAGCACCACTCCACTCCCTCTGCTTCCTCCCAGTTTCGCCTTGTACTCGTTTTCCCCTCTGCCCTAGGCGGGGTACACGGGGTGGAAGGTGTGGCCTTGGGAGCAGCAGCACCGCCCCAAAGCTTGCTGCTTCCCCCCATCCCCTCTACCCCGGTACCCCTTGCAGAGCAACTCAAGACTCTCTACTGCGCAATGCCCAAGGTGGGGTGCACGGGGTGGAAGGTGTGGTTCCGGGTGCAGCAGAAGCGGCCAAACGCCACAGTCGCGTGGATGGCCCACGAGCAAGAGCTCTCCGGGCTGAAGATGCTGGGAAACACCTTGCCAGAGAGTGAGGTGAGCGGAAAAATACTATTCTGCATGGAAGAGGGAGAGGGGAAGGGGAGGGGAGAGGAGTAGGGAGGGGAGAGGGGATAGGGAGAGGAGAGGAGAAGCAGCAGGGCAGAGAGAGAGGTGAGCGGAGAGACATTATTTGCATGCAAGAGGGAGAGGGGAAGGGGGTGGGAGAGGGGAAGCAGCAGGCAAGAGAGTGAGGTACGCGTGGTGTGTGCAAGTATAGGCGGTGTGGTGCACCTATACTGGCAGCTGGTGGACGGGCAGAGGGTAAACGCGCACCTTGAGAGCCCACCACCTTCTTCCACTCCATCGCTCCTGTCTCACTCATCCCACCCCTGCCCTTTACCCCCTGCCCCCTCCCCCCTGCCCCCTGTCCCCTGCCCTCTGGCCCCTGTCCCCTGTGCCCCTGCCCCTGGTGCCCTTTCCCCTGCCCCCTGGCCCTGGCAGGTGATCCGCTTCCTCACGCGCCCGGACTACTTCAAATTCACCTTTGTGCGCAACCCCTACACGCGGTTACCATCGGCGTATCTCAACATGCACGTGGGAGGGGGGTTCCCCCACAACCGCTCCTTCTGGAACACACGCTTCTTCCGCTCCACCGCGCCGTACCGCCACCTCGTGGACCGCCAGCACGGGTCGGACCTGTTTCGGTTCCCCGACTTTGCGGAGCTGACGTGGCACCAGGAGAGGAGCCGGCGGAGCGTCATGGACCCGCACATCATGCCCCAGGTGAGCTGCTCGTAACGTAGCTTGGTTTTCCTGGCTTGCTTGACTTTGTGGGTGGCACATGGAGAAGAGCGGGGGGAGCGTCATGGACCCGCATAGCATGACAGAGCTAGGGAGGGGCTGAAACTGGTTGACTGGATTGAAACTGGTTGACTGGTTGAAACTGGGTTGAGCTTTTTGGGTTTCCTGACTTTGTGGAGCTGACGTGGCACATGGAGAGGAGCCGGAGGTGCATGCATCATGGACCCGTACATCATGCTCGAGGCGGGGATGGGTTAAGGGAGATGGAATCCGGTTTCAGGAGACATTGTGTGAAACCAGCAGAGCCAAAGGGTTACCAGGATGGTGTTACATCGGCCAACAAGTTTGACAACCCTCCCCCTCCTCCCCCCCCCCCCCTGGCCCCCAATACTCTCGAGGTGCCTCTCTTAACCATGGCTCACCACGGATACCCTCTGTTTGCTCCTTGCGTCTTGGTTATGCCCCATTGCAGGCTGAGGTGTGTGAGCTGCGTTGCAGAAAGTAGGACCATGTGTGGCGGCTTACGAGCCAGTAGCATGCCAAGATGTATGTCCCCTTTGCTGTCCCCCTTGCTGTCCCCCTTGCTGTCCCAATGCAGGCGGAGGTGTGTGAGCTGCATCGCATCAAGTATGACTATGTGGGGCGCTTTGAGAGCTATGAGCATGATGTGTCGGAGCTCTTGAGGCGCTTCGGCAAGGATGCCGATGCTGCGTTTGACATCGGGTGGGGACTACACCCGACTAATGCCTCTGATAGAACTGTTAAGCTGTACAATAAGGTATGTCGAATGTGTTGCCTCTCATTTCACCCCATCCCCCCTCTCTTGCTCTCTCCTCTTACACTCTCCTCTTGCTCTCTCCTCTTGTTCTCTCCTCTTGCCCTCTCCTCTTGCTCTCTCCTCTTGCCCTCTCCTCTTGCTCTCTCCTTTTGCTCTCTCCTCTTGCTCTCTCCTCTTGCGCTCTCCTCTTGCTCTCTCCTCTTGCGCTCTCCTCTTGCTCTCTCCTCTTGCTCTCTCCTCTTGCTCTCTCCTCTTGCTCTCTCCTCTTGCTCTCTCCTCTTGCTCTCTCCTCCTGCTCTCTCCTCTTGCACTCCCTGGAGCTTTCCATCCTCCGTGGCCCAGAGCTCACTGCGTGCCCAAGCATCAGCTGTTGATGCCACCATCCTCAACTTTGCATGTGGTGAGCATGCATGTTTGTGTGTGGGTGCCTATTTTGTGATATGCAGGAATCATTGGCTCTGGTGGCAAGCATATACAAGTCTGACTTTGATGTACCATTAAATGGAATACACTACGATGTTCCTAAGAATCTGAAGGCTGCATACCTAGATTAACTGCTAGGGGCGATTTCTTGGAAATAGCATTTGAATAAAAAAAAGGGTTTAGGACGGCAATAAGGTTTTTTCCCTCAAGATGTGCCTGTTCACTGGCCCCGTTCGCGCCCCGCTGGCCCTGTCGAGCCCCGCTAGCCCCGTGCGCCCCGCTGACCCCGTACGCCCCGCTGGCCCTGTTCGCGCCCCGCTGGTCCCATCGAACCCCGCTAGCCCCGTGTGCCCCGCTGGCCCCGTAAGCCCCGCTGGCCCCGTTCGCGTCCCACTGGCCCCGTCGAGCCCCGCTAGCCCCGTGCGCCCCGCTGGCCCTGTATGCCCCGCTGGCCCTGTTTGCGCCTCGCTGGCCCCGTCGAGCCTCGCTCGCCCTGTGCGCCCCGCTGGCCCCATCCACACCCCGCTAGCCCCGTGCGCCACGCTAGCCCTAGCCCGCCGGCCCTAGCTCGCCGGCCCCACCTCGCCGACTCTCGCTGGTAGGCCCTAGCTCGCCGGCCTCTGCTTGCTCGCCGCCCCTACCGCAGCCGGCCCCCATTCCTGCCGGCCCCAGCTTCCTGCGTGCGCCGTGCTGCCGTGGCGCCGTCCTGCCGTGGAGCCGTGCCGCCGTGTCGCCGTGCCGCCGTGTAGCTGAGGCCGTGCGATGGCGGACGCTGTGCTCCGCATGGACGCGGAGGGGTGGGCGATCGACTTCGATGCGTGCCTTTTCGACCTTCGCCGTCACCTAACATGTCTGCACCAGGACGGTTACTCCCTGGCTGTTCTTGTCGATGGTTTGCTTCCCCGCCCCCCCGCGCATGCTGCCCTCCCTGATGTCCCCACCACTGCTGAGTGTGAGGCCTTTTCTGCTGCTGCACTTGCTCGCGCTGTCTGGGAGTCGTGCGATGCCGTAGCGCAGCTTGCCATTAGTCACGCCCTCCCCCTGTCTGAGCGTACCCGCTTTACCACTGTAGCGAACGCCAAGGAATTCTTAGATGCAGTCATTGCGCGCTACTCTACGCCCGCCTGAGCCTCAGCTGGCCGCCTGATCCTCCTGGATTCCCTCCGCCCCAGTGAGTTGGGCCTGGGCCTGAGCACAGGGCTGTGCTCCCTCCCAGTGTACTTACTCTGACGTCTCTACTGCTGTTGCTGAGATAGCCCCAGCTGCTGAGACCGCTGCTGCGGCCTCAGCGCAGCCACGTCAGGGTAGGGGTTGCCGTTCCAAGGGTGGGCGTGGCGGGGGGAAGGGTGGTGGGGGTGGTGGGGGTGGGGGCGGGGATAGTGGTTCCGATGAGGGGACCGGGTCTGGTGCCTCGGAGCACCAACAGCAGCAACAGCCTTAGCAGCAGCAGCAACAGCACTGGGGCCGCCTCCCGCTGGGGTGGCCCAGTGTCTCTGGTGGTGGTGGCCACGGTGGCGGCCCTCGCAGCTTGGCGTCGGGTGGCAGCTTTGGCGCTGTGGATTGCCAGTACCAGCTCCAGATCGGCCCCTTCCGCGGCACTTTATATAGTCGCACCAGTCACACTGTTGCCAGCTGCTTCCGCCGCCTCGACGATCTCTGCCGTCTCCGCTTCGGCCCTGCGCCGGACCTTCCCGACTGACTCAGTCTGGTGTGTCGCCGTATGCCTGTCTCTGAGATGGATATGGATCAGCTTTGCTTTGCCTTGCATGCCATGTATGCTGATGACTCTAGTGTGAGCGGACCTTATTACCCTTGTTGCTTAGTGTAGGTGTGCTTAGTCTAGGCTCCCCTGATGCGTCACGCGTAGGACCTTCTGCCTTGTTTAGCCTAGGCTCTGCGCTAGCCCCTCCGCCGGCTGCCGCTACCGCTTCGCTCTCGTTCACGCTTGACTCTGGTGCGTCTGCATGCGCTCACGTCGCTTGCCGCCTCTGCCGCAGTCGCGCTTGCTGACCCCTCCTCCGGTCCGGTAGTTGTCCATAGCTCCACTACCCTTCCCTGTTTGGCGGTTCCCTCAGGCTCCCTTACAGGCCTGCACAACCCCTCGTTCTCCAGGAACCTAGTTGGTGTCGGCTGTCTTCAGGACCTCGGCGTTACCACTACGTTCCCTGGCTACGAGCGCTACGCGGTCCGTACCGAGGCCGCCACAGGTGCCCCCTTCACCACGTTCCCCCGGGACCTGGTGTCTGGCGTGTTTACGCTCGACACAGAGTCCTCCGTGGTGAGGGCATCTACCCAGGTCGCTGCGGCTTGCTCGTGTCGGTCGCTCACTCATCCGTAGATTCTGTGGCACCACCACCTAGGTCACCCCGCACTCCCGCGTTTGCGCCACATGTCTCAACATGGTCTTGTCCTAGGTCTCTCTTCGTCGCTCCCTGCCCTCCCTCCCTTGCCTGCACCGTCGTGCACGCCCTGCGTCGAGGGCCGGCTGCGCCGTGCTCCTCACCCCTCCTTGCTTCGCCCTGCCACGGCGCCACTCCAGACCCTGCACCTGGACGTCTGGGGACTAGCCCCCGTCCTTGGGCCGCGTCGAGAGCGCTACTTTCTAGTGCTTGTCAACGACTACACGCGCTACACCACGGTGTTTCCCGTGGAGCGGAAGGCCGACTTGACTGACGTTCTTATCCCGTAGGTCATAGCTGTGCGTGTCCACCGCAGTCTCCCCGTGCTGTGTCTCCACTCCGCCCGTGGCGGCGAGTTTGCCTCCAGTCAGCTTGGACAATTTTGTCGTGCGGAGGGCATTACCCAGTCGTAGGTGGCTCGTACTTCATGATCCATGCCGGTGAACCCCAACTTTTGTAGCCGTTCATTGTTCGCTACACTGCTCACCAGCTTAACCTATGGCCGCACGTTTCGCCGACCATTCTCTGGACCGGGTTACCTGGTAATGCGTTCGTGCTTCACGCCTGGGGCTGCCTTGCTCACGTCCGTGCGTCTAGCATGGACAAGCTCACTGCACGCACTGTCCCCTGTATCTTCCTTGGTTTCCCCTTGACTCGTCTGACTGGCACTTTTACCACCCGCCGTCGCACAGCTTCTTTCACTTGCATGACGTCACTTTCGACGAGTCTGTCTCCTTCTACCACCGCTTTCCTCACCGAGGTCTCCTCGTTTCCCCACCCCCGTTTCTGGTTCCCACTCCCCTGGCATCCCCTCCCTCCCAATCCTGCTCCGTCTGGTGTGTCTCACGTCACTCCCCTCCCTTCGGTTGTCCCGGTTGAGGAGTCGGCTGGTGGCCCTGCGGTGGAGTTCTTGCCGCCTGTTTCTCCCCTGAAGTCTCCTCCTCCACCGTCGCAGCAGCCGTTGGCGTCGCCGCTGCAGAAGCAGCCGCGGCCATCCTCGCTGCCGTAGCAGCAGCCGCCACCGCCGCCGTCGCAGCAGCAGCCACCACCGCCGCCGCCGCAGCAGCAGCTGTCCGTGGGCTCTGGGGGTGTGGGCGTTGAGGAGGGTGCTAGTCTTGGGATTCCTGCCGTGCCTCGTCCCAGCAGTCCTGGGGATGGCACCGGTGGTGGAGAGGGTTCTCGATATGGGGGTGCTGGTTTTGGGGGTGCTATTCCTGGGGTTACTGTCGTGGGTTGTCTCGGCGATCTAGGGGGTGGCACCGGTGTTGGAGAGGGTTCTCCTTCTGGGGTTGCAGGAGTGGAGCGTTCCGGAGGTAGCCTTGGTGCAGCTGGAGGTTCTGGTGTCGGCATCGAGCAGCAGCAGCAGCAGTCGCCGCCAGCGTCCACCCTTTGCCTGCTCGGCCTTCCCTCCCCTGACCACCCGCCTGCGCCTCCCCCGCCGCTGCCTCTCCTGCCTGTTTACGGCCTTATGTTTCCTCCACCGGACTTGTCTCTGGAGGATCGACAATACGAGCTAGCTTTCCTGTCCGGGGTCGCGCCTCATGTCTGCTCCATGCTCCAGACTCCTTCGACATCCAGACCCCTCGCACCTATGCTGAGGCGACCTCGGGAACCTCGGCCTCTCAATGGATAGCTGCCATGGAGCAGGAGATGGCATCTTGGAGATCCACCGGCACCTACATCGACGCATTTCCCCCACCTGGGGTGAAAGTAGTCGATGGCCGGTGGCTCTTCAAGGTGAAGCGCCCTCCTGGAGAGCCGCCTATATTCAAGGCGTGCTACGTTGCTAGAGGCTTAAGTCAGCACGAGTGTGTTGACTTCTTCCAGACCTTTGCCCCAACCCCGAAGATGACTATTCTTCGGGCACCGCTGCACGTAGCAGCACAGCGCTGAGACGTTCAGGTCCTCCCAGGGCTACTGCTTTAGCCTTGATGCAGGCGCCATCTCGTGGAGGTCCACCCGCTCGTCGTCTGTTGCCCAGTCGAGCTGCGAGGCGGAGATCTACGCTGGTGCCATGGCGGCACAGGAGCTCCGCTGGTTGACTTTCTTGTTCACAAACTTAGGTGAACAGCCTAGCTCTGCTCAGGTTATGTGCACTGACAACAGGGTCATGATCCTCCCGTGTCAGGAGCCTCGACTTGAGGGCAGAGCAAAGCACATCCAGCTGCGGTACTCCCTCCTACGCGAGCTACAGTAGCGCCGCCAGGCCCGCGTAGTACACTTGGCCTCAGGTGCCAACAAAAGGTGATATCTGTACAAAGGCACTTGAGATCATCAGCGGCACTGTGTACAGCCTAGCCTAGTTCCTATAAATTCTCACTTGCTAGGACCCTGACTGTGTACTGCTACTTATATTATCTTGATTGGCCTTGTGGCTCTTGTTCTAGTGGCTGGACTAGTAGTGCCGCCCTGGGTTACACATATTTTGTTGGTACTCTTGCTGACTGGTATTCGGACCCTTGCCTCAAAGGTTGGACCAGTAGTGCCACTCTGAGCAGTGTGTCACTTGCTAGTCGCGGCCCCTTGTCTAGCCTAGGGGGTGTGTCAACATATAATCTGTATATGTTATAGGCTAGCTAGGTGCATGCTCATGTAGAGTACAACCCCTTAGGTTATCTCCCCTTGTACCACCTCGTTCTAGTCAATTCGTTCTACGCTAAGAGTACCTTCTTTGAACGGGAGTTAAAGCCCTTGAATAAAATGGCAATTCCTATTGAAGTTGGGCCCAGCTTGAACAAGAAAGGGGGCTTGTTTTGAAAAAGAGTTGGGCCTTTCTTTAGGGCACCTGGCTAGTATGTTTGAAATAGATT